CCGTACCGGACCGGGACCGGCAACGGGATCGCAACCCTCGGTGTTGCCCCCGCACCTCGCTCAGCCAGTGAGCGGGAACCGGTCTGTATGTGGGATCCGAACCCTCGGCGGGAGCGCTGCCACTCGGCGGGAGTGCGCCACTGGGCCGGCCCGAAAATTAACTTTTAAAAACAAATATTGGTCCAGGATTTCTAGTTGTGATCTCTTTTTTTTTTTTTCCATTGGGCAGAGGGTGGGTGTGGGTGGTGTGTTTACCAACTCACAGTATATTGGAATTTTTTCCCCCTCTCCAGGGTTAGGGATCTTGTGGGTTTGGTTTTGTTTTATAAGTAAAAATGTGTTTTACCCCCAGTGCTTAATTTTTGAAATATAGGGGGCTGAGTGTTGTTTGTTCATTTTACAAATGAAACCTTGTAGTGAACTCTGATTTTTAAAATAGTGGAAACATATTTTTTATTAGTATAATAATAATAACTTGCTTTTATTTTTTACTTAAAATTTTATAAGTAACACGCTAAGTCCTTTTTGTACTTTTATTCATTTAACCTCCTAACAACACTATGAAGTAGGTATCACTGTATCCATGTTTTATGGATGAGGAAATTTGAGGCTAAAAGTTACATATCGGGTTAGTGGTAGAGCTGAGATTTAAACTGCAGCGTTTTGAGAGCTGGCTGGTTGGCTCAGCTGGTTACAACGTGGTGTTTTAACACTAAGGTTGAGGGATCCCCATACCTCCAACTGCCAAAGAAAAACCAAAACCAAAAACAAACTCAAGCAGTTTGAGACTGGAGCCCATTCTCTTGACTAATATGTTGTCACATAGCTCCTAAAGTTGTATAAACATTTATTTTACAAGTTTTGATTTACAGTAGCCACCTGTTTTAAGTCAGTGGGTAGAAACTATGTAGCTATTTTGATAATTAAAATTAAGTGATTTTTGTTGTCTTAAATCAGTATCTACATTCTTTTCTTTTTTTGGTTTTGTAGTACAGTATTGAGAAAACCCTGTTTATACAGAATAGTTATTTCATGTTTTTAAAAAGAAAATCAGCTTGACTTTTTAAAAATATTTTTATAATTTTCTTCATAAAATTCTCACACGTTTGTTTAGAAATTTTTCCTAGATAAGGGAAAATTAATTTTGCTTTGATAATGTCTTAGTCTGCTTGGACTGCTATAACAAAATACCATAGATTGGTGGCCTAGAAATTTATTTTCTCAGTTCTGGAGGTTGGAAGTACAAAATCAGGGTGCCAGCATAGTCAGATTCTTAGTGAGGACTTTAGTGACTGGCTTGCAGACATCTGCCTTCTTGCTGTATCCTCACATGGTGGGGAGAAAGAGAGAAGGAAAAGCATCTTGACTCAATTAAATTTTTCATAGAACTTGAAGGATGAGTACCACAATATTCATTTTTAAGCTAAATTTCTAACTGCTTATATCTCATTTCTTATTTATAAACATACAAGTTGGACAAGAAGTACCTGAACTTAAGTTTAGTAAAACCTTAATATTATCACAAAGCTCCGTGTTAAATGTAAATTTGTCATCACCCAATGTTGAGAGTATAGGCCAAGCAGATGTTCTGGAGTCTTGCCCAGCATTTGAGAACAGGGTTAGTGTTATCTGCTTGTACAATCTTAAGTGAGTGGTCATCAGCAGGTTTGAATCAAAACAAATAAAAGCAAAATAAAAAAATTCATTCAGAGCTAGACTTTCCTTTAATTGATGCCTTGCCTAATCAGGAAGTTCAGATATGTAAAGAGATTTGCATTAAAGTGAGGTAACCTCATAGTACAGGTGATTGTACCTAAGATTCTTCATTGTATTAGACATATTATTTATTTACACATTTGAATATGTATATATATATTAAAAATTAACTCTTTAAAAATTACTAGTATATGCTCACTTAACATCTCTCTAGTTAATTTTGTTTCAGTACTGTCTTTCAGTTTTTTTAATACCTAAACTTCATAGAAGTATGTTTCTCAATGTATTTTTACAACAGCTTTGTTGAGGTATAATTCACATACCATGTAATTCATTCATTTAAAGTGTACAATTCAGTGGTTTATAGTATATTCACAATGATGCAACCATCACCACAATCAATTTTAGAACATTTTCATTAGAAGCCTCATACTCATTAGTATTCCGTTTTTCTCCCCTATTAGTAGTCCCTGTTTCTACCCTCTTCCTTCATCTTAGCCTTAGGCAGTCACTAATCTATTTTCTGTTCCTTTGGTTTTGAAATATGTACCTAGTGTTAACAAAAGGGACTTGCTGGATATTATTGCCTCTGTTTGTAAACAAGCATAGAAATTGTTTGGTGAATAAGAGGCAATTGTTTTAGTCTTTGTTTTTTTGTTTTTGTTTTGAGAGAGAAGGAGGGAGAGGTAGGAAAACAAGAGATTGGTTTTGAACCCATAGAGAAGGAAATTTATTTCTGGAATCTTTTCCATTTGAAAGAGTGTGTTCTGAAGTTTTAATGCCTGATCTTCCTATCTGAGGTTCCTTCATTGCTTCTGAGCAATAATCAGTTGCTACTATTTCTAATATCCAGTATAATTTTAATTACTGTATTTCATTTTCATTTTGTTAAATATTTTTCATAAGAAAATGTGAGTGGTCTAAATGACAAATCTTTTTTCTTTTTTCTTTTTAGGACTTGGAAGTCATCTTTTGTTTGCCAGTTTGTAGAGGAGACGTTATATCCATCTGAATCTGTTTCTTATAGGACAAAGTCTTATCTTAGTCAGGAGTTAGATTTTGTAATCAGCTTATAAGGTGAAGTGGTAGGTAGTCCCTTAGAAAATCCTGTAAGTTGCCCGTAAAGTATAGACATACTACCTCTTGGTAATATTGCCACTATTTTTTTTGCTTTTTCTTGTATAATACTGTGTAAGACTGCAGCTTTTTTGGTTGAGCATCAGGCAAAATGCCTAGGGGCAATACTGTACAAAAAGTATGTTGTCTTTTTTAACACTTGGATCCCTTTCAGTGCAGGCAAGTGCTTTCACTTTTTGGCTTACAGGATCAGATCTCCCAAGGATGATGACTTCATTTTAGAGCATAGCTTATGGAGTGGAAGGCCCTTGACTATTTCCTTTGTTTTCCTTTCCTTTTTTGGTGTTTACAAAGTTGAATTCAGTTAAGTTAAATGTGTTTTATAAATCACTTGTGTTAAGAATTTTTATTCTTCTTCTTTTCTTTTTGGAATTTCTGGAATTTTACCAGGATGTGTTTTTTTTTTTTTTTTTTTTTCCCCATTACCTCTTTGGTATTTGATAGGTTCATTCAATCTCAAATATTCATATCTTCAGGGAAATTTTCTTCTATTATTCCACCTCACCATCATTCTCTTCCTTTTGGGGTACCTTTGAGATTGCTGTTAGACTTACTGGCTCAGTATTTCAACTTTTTGTCTTTCGTCTTTTCTTTTTTTGAAATTGATTGAGAATTTTGTCATTAGCCTGCCCAATAAGTTTTTATTTTGGCAGTCATTTTTTTGTTTACAAATATTTTTCATGTCTTCATCTCATGGCCACCTGTGCTTACTTTTTTTTTTGCATCTGTTGCCTCTCAGATACCAGTTAAAATACTTCTTAGAAATTTCTTTTTTGCAGATTACCCCTTTTCCTTCTGGAGTGGTTTTTCTGTTTGTTCGCATTGAACTTTCTCTTTCATGTAATTAATTTCTTTCAGAAAACTGGGATCCTTGGTTTTCTGTTCATATTTATGAATATCAGATACTGTTGATTGCCTATGGCTAGCTGTTGTATTTCTTCCATAGTCATGTAGGTAGCTAGGTAGTTCTTTTTCTCTTAAAAGTTTCTCCCTTGCAGGCTGGCCCGGTGGCGCACTGCTACAGTGTGCCGCTTGGGAGTGTGGTGGCGCTCCCGCTGAGGGTTCGGATCCCACATACAGACCAGCTGCTCACTGGCTGAGCGAGGTGCGGGCGCAACACTGAGGGTTGCGATCCGTTGCCGGTCACGAAAAAAGACAAAAAGGAAAAAAAAAAAAAGTTTCTCCCTTGGATAGGGTGACTGACTCTGGGTAATAGTAGACAAGACTGAGCTAGAAGCAGCGTTCCTTGTGTACTTGCCTCATTGGTGAGTAGGAGGCGGGGAACCAAGAGGCTGCAATACTAACACTTGCCAAACTAAAGAGGCCTTTTAAAGACTCAGGGTGGAGTATGTTAATTTCTTTAGTTCTTTGGTGGAGTTGCCTCTGCTTTGCTTTCCCCTGTGTCTGTTTTGGCGGTCTGGAATTACCTCAGATTTGGCTCTACTTCTCTTAGGCCCTAACATACTCAACAGGAACCACCCCTACAACATTGCTTGCTTTCATTTCAACAGCAGCAAATTTCTGGCTTTAACCTAAGAGCAAAAGTTGTCACTGCTAATTGTTCTGTTCAGTTTTTACAGAGTTCTCAATAAGTGTTAGGGAGTTCTCAGTAAGTGTTGGCTGTGTTTATTATTTTTGTTACAAATATATATGATCATCCCTTTGTCGTGACGTAAGAGTGATTAAAAAAATAAGTGGTTTTTTATAGTTAGGTGATACAGTTTATCTCTTGGTTTTTGATTTGGGGGCTTTGGCCTGAGAACTTCCTTTTTGTTCATCCTGTATTTTAGGGCTGGCCTGTTAGCTCAGTTGGTTAGAGCATGGCCTTGTAACACCAGGGTCAAGGGTTTGGATCCTTGTACAGGCTGGCTTCTCCCCCTCCCTCTGCTACTACTCACTTTCATCAAATAATTTTTGAATACCTGCTTTGGACATGCCTTTGCCCAAAAGACAAAACAAACAAACAAACAAAAATCTATATTTTATTTTGCTCTATTCGGCAGTGTTTTTGTTTATGTTCTTGTGCATTTGCATAATTTGGGTTGAAAATTACAACTCCTTGGGGAGCAGGGAGGGGTACTAAGAAGTATGATAGAAGAGAATATGATAATAATGTTACTTTTCTCTTTCCTTTTTTGCTTTTTCAGTTTGAACAGAAAAGTGGTGCAGTTTTTGATGGAGTTGTAGAGAACTGTAAGTACTATTTGAGAAAAAGAATCATGTATAGATAATAAATGTAAGTCTAGATACAGCATTTAACTATTACAGTGTTTAGTTAGGGCTGATTTATGTGATGGTCTGATTTGATTTAACCTAGGCCTCATCATATCCTATTAGTACTTTTAGCACATTAATCTGAATTGTAGGTGTCTTACTCTTTATTTTCCAATAAATATTTTACTTTCACAGTTATTAATGTGCTGAAACATAGCCACACTTTGTGTCTGTGAGTCATATAGAAGATTATACTTAACTTACCACTTTTAAAGGTTCTGCTTTGTTTAAGGTTTCTTAATTTTCTCTTTAGATTCTTTCTGTGTTACAGGATTTTTTAAAATTATTTTTGTTTCTTATGATTATAAAAGTAATACATTCAGTTTTACAATACAGAAATGAATAAAGTAGAAAGTAAAAGCCTTTGTCATTACCATTCTCCAAAGATAACCAGTTTTAAAAATTTAAAATATATCTTTCCAGACTTTTTTGTATGAATGTATATATCTATATATGGTGTATGGGGATTTATATAGGTATGTGAGAATCTCATGAATATTTTTTTCATTCAACTGCATAGACATCTTTCTATGTCAGTGGGTATAGACCTATGCACCCTTTTAAATGGCTACTCAGTATTTTATTGTATGGCTGTACTATAATTTAACCAGCTTTCTCTTTTATACATATGTAAGTTATTTTAAATTTTTCACTATTATCAACAACAATGAATATGTATTCTTATACACATCTTTATATACTTGTTGAAGTGTTTTTGTAGAATAAATCTAAGAATAGAAATTGATGAATCATCAAAGGATGTTTGTGTGCTTATTTATGACGGATAAATTTTGTCAACTAGAATTCCTGACTGAGTTAAGGGGAACCAACCAGCCAGCCTACCTCCCTTCCTTCCTCCCTCCCTCCCTTTCTTCCTTCCTCCTTCCCTTCTTTCCTCCTTCCCTCCCTTCCTTCCTCCTTCCCTCCCTTCCTTCCTCCTTCCCTCCCTTCCTTCCTCCTTCCCTCCCCTCCTTCCTCCTTCCCTTCCTTCCTTCCTACTTCCCTTTCTTCCTTTCTCCCTCCCTTCTTTCCTCCTTCCCTCTCTTCTTTCCTCCTTCCCTCTCTTCTTTCCTACTTCCCTTCCTTCCTTCCTCCTTCCCTTCCTTCTTTCCTCCCTCCCTTCCTTCCTTTGTTTTTAAGACAATATCTGACTTTCTGTTCCTTAATATTGAGAGTAATTAGCTCTTCTGACCACTAGTGGATTTAGTTATTGAATGTCCTTTTTGTTACAAGCAACCAAAATAGACTCTAGCTAGCTTATCTAGAAGAAACGTTTTAGATGTATGTTGGGTTATTTCACAGAATTTAGGGTGGAGATAAAGAAGAAATTTCCTGCAGGGTACTCAGCAAGAAGCAGATCATGGTCCTGTTCTCTACAGTGCTGCCAGAAAACATTTACATTCTAATGACTTCTAGTTTTTCTGTATATCTATTTTAAATTTCAAGTTCCTAGGAGAAAGATTATAATTGGGTGGCTCGATTCTGATGTTCATCTTTGAACCAATCATCTGTGGTCGGGGAAATAGGGCCAGATAGTAAAACATAGCTGTTAAAAGGTATCCCTCTGCTACTACTCACTTTCATCAAATAATTTTTGAATACCTGCTTTGGACATGCCTTTGCTCAAGTTTGTATATTTGTAATAGAAATGAATCAAATAGCTTTCTAATGAAGATTTTAATCTGTTGCTTTATTTGTTAAAGTTATTATAGTAACAACAATCTTAAAGTGGCAGTAGGAATCTATCTGAAAACTGTAACCAGGCTGCTGTACTTGGGGCCCTACACCCAACATCTGGGGTTGCTGGTGCATGGTGCTTCTCTGCTCCACCTTCTCAAACATTATTAGGCTGGAGGTTTAAAAGCAGAGGGTTTTATACCAAATGTTGGGTGCAAATGATACAATAAAGATTACCCTTTATCTTCCCCTTTCTGGTAGTTTATCATTAAAGGGATATTGAAAGCTCTGGAGGCAGAGAAGTGACTACCTTGGAGGGGATACTATCCTCTATCCATGAAGAGGATTCAGGAACATAGACACCTGTCCAGGAGAGAGAAGGGCAGACTGCTACATAGATGATGTTCAGGAAATCTTTGATACCAAAGATCGTCATTTGTGGCCTACCATTTTGTCTTGGGGTCCATGTTCAGAAAATAAGAAGAGTCAGTGTATCTCAGGCAAGGCATCAAAATGTCTACTGTAGTACTAAACTTACCATGTACTCCTTGACCAATACCACCAGAACATAGGTATTCATATACTTGTTTTGTAGATCAGATTCTGCCCTCCTGGGGTATAACCCTTATGAGATTTTCAGCAAAATATAGTATCTACACATAAACTGGTAGAACTAACCTCATCAGTGAGGAACTTGGGAAATTTGTTATAAACATGAAAAGTCGGAGTTGACTTAAGATATAGTGTCTTCAGTGAAAGGGTATTTAAAAGAAAAAAGACTTCAACATTTTATGTAGGTAAAAAGAGAAGGTAGGGTGTCCAACTTCTAGTTCCTCATTTGTCAGGACAATCTGTGCTGTGGATTTTTCTTTTTCCTTTTTTTTTGGTAGCTGGCCAGTACCAGGATGTGCTCTGGATTTTTCAAGATGCATAGTGATAGAGGCAATGACTGATACTGTGGATCATCTTACTTCATGTTCCCTCAACCATTGAAGTTTGAAAGAAATTCAAATAGAAGAGGGAGATTGTTTTTATTTAATGCATTCAGATAGCTGCTTCCTTAAATCAAGGACTTTTATTCATTAAATGTCTGAGATGACCAACTGGTCATTCAGCAATGATTAATTTTCTTAATGACAATAAATTCATCGAACATAACAGACTTGACAACTTCAAGGGAAAAATAAGAGCACTGCTGATTTGGTCATGAAGTAGTTATTTGGATTAAAAAATTATTTTTGTTATTTGAGTTATTGCAATGTACCAGTTTATGTACAGTGTACACTTACACGTATTATCTTTTAAAAATTCTAATAATAATTGTATTAATTAGGATATTAGGTTAAACTATATAAAATAGAAATGTGATAGAAATTTATCTCTCATATAAAAGAAGCCCAGATGATAATATATGGCTCTGTGGTTTTCTGGAATCCAGGGGCCTTTTAGCTTTTTGAATCACATTCTTTGGGCATGGCTTATTTTCAAGGAGGCATGGTGTTCTAAGATGGCTGGTGTATCTTCAGCCTGGAATGAAGTAGGAAGGGAGAATTTCCAAGAAATGTCCTGGAAACCTTACCTGTGTGTGTACTTTGGTTTACATCTCATTGGCTAGCCTAGCTTCAAAGAAAGTTGGGAATTGTAGTTCTTTAGCTGTGCCCATTGTTGCCAAGAATAAAATCGAGGATCTCTTTGTAAGTAAAGGGAGGGAACTGTTGTTAGGTATGAAGTACCTGCAGCAGCAGCCTTCTAGATGAAGATACTAAGACTCTCTATTTTACCAAGGAGGAAACTAAGGCTAAGAGACATCATTTAAATTTTAAGTGATGGAAACAGGATTTGAATGCAGGTTTATCTGACTCCACAGCCCCTCTTAAATCTTTCATTACCTATTTCTGAACTGCTTCCTAGTTCAATGGAATCATAGGTTTTGAAGAATAACAATTATTTTATAGAAATAAAGGAATAATTTGTAAAGTAACAAAAATGCTTTAAGGAGTATTAACCATGACTGAAGTTATTATGTCTCCTTATGGAGAGCCAACATCAGTTTGTCTGAATTATAATATTATCTGTCTTATCAGTGCAGCTCAATTTTAAAAAGAACTGATACAATTTAAAAACATTTTTTAATGAAATTTAAAAAAGGAACTGATAAATGGTTGGTTTTTTTGTTTTTGTTTTTTAAAGCAGAACTACTTAAAAAAATTTTTTTTTTTTTTTTTTTGTCTTTTGTTTTTTCCGTGTCTGGCAACGGAACGCAACCCTCAGTGTTGCCCCTAAACAGATAGTGTGTCAGAGGGGGCTGAACATTCTGGAAACAAAAGGGAGGGTGGAGGGGGCACTAGTTGGAAGAGAATGGTCCAGAAAGACTTCAATGTTGACGATTAAGCAGAGATTTGGAAGAAGTGAGAGTGAGCTGTGCACATCTCTAGGCGGAAGACTGGAGTATAGGGAGCCACCAGTGAAAGGCCCTGGGGCAGATATGTGGCCCTTGTGTTGAGGGGGTAGCAAGGAGGCCAGGGTGCCGGGAGTGGTGGGATGGGGTAAGCAGGAGGGGATGGGGGCTGAAGTGGGCAGACCAGTGCAGGAACTAGGACTCTTCTTAGCAGGAGACTAGAAGACCTTGCACAATGAGTAATTTAAGTTTTTTTTTTTTTTTTCCTTTGTTGTCTTTTTCCGTGTCCGGCAACGGATCGCAACCCTCAGTGTCGCCCCCGTACCGGACCGGGGACCAGCAACGGGATTAAAAATTTTTGTTTACTTGGTCTATTGCTGAGTATTATTTGCATCTTTCCAACATTGTAAAGGAATATCTTCATGAAAATGTTGAAACCAAAGCACAAAGTCTTCTTTAGGGCATATAAACATGGGTAGAGAGTTGAGATGGCCTTAAAGATAAACACCTCACAGTTCTCAAGAATTATTTAGTTCATTAAATAAAGATATAGGTTCTTCCTAAAAGAAACAAATTGATCAATAACTAGTATAGTTTTTGAGTAAGTAAAATGGACTGCATTAATTTCTGTTTTGTCTCTGTATTACTAAAAAGGTCAATATTTTTGCAGACAACTTACAGCTATATTTCAGTATTGTTATTAATAAAATTGAGTGGTGTCAGGGAAACTGACACTGAAAAGAAGATGTAAGTTATATGTGAATTTTAGTTTAGGTTGATCAGTAGGATAAGAGGGTGGTAAAAGGATATTGCAAATGCTTGAATATAAGATCATTCCTATTTC